AAATATTTTGTTATTACAACAGACAAGATATCTCACAATAAAAAAATAACAATAATAATAATACAAAAAAAAAATTAAAAGCTGTAAATTCACAAAAACTATTTTTAATGTAAAATAAAAAAATTGTTTCAAAATGAACTCAAAACAGTAAATATATATATATATATATATGTGTGTGTGTGTGTGTGTGTGTATATATATATATATATATATATATATATATATATATATATATATATATATATATATATATATATATATATATATATATATATATATATATATATATATATATATTAAATATTAAAATATTAATATATATCATATGTAACATATCATAGCATAAAACATAGTACAGCGAAAAACTCTCTACTGTAGTTTGTTGGTCCATCAGCACTAGCCAGCAAAAAGCATAAGCCATGGTATTTTCAGCAGGGAAAGCAGCAGATTCCTGCAGTAAGAGAAACTATTCTGCATAGAATAGAGCTGATAATATCAACGTTTTGCCACACGTCTGTGGAGACACGAACAACAGCCTGTTAACACTTCAATTGCTCCGACAGAGACAAAGACAAAGAATACTGATACCACGAAAAAAACAAACATTCACAACATTCTTTGCATTGCACTCAAGGACCAATTCCAGCTCTGCCAAGCTGCGATTTTGATCTACACGGCCATTAAACGACAACTGCGCACGTAATGTCCATGTCTAATAGCCCTCTGAACCTGGCAAGTGTTATTTACTGAAACAACACAAAGATCACGACTGATGAGGATAATGGGGTCTCAAAGCCAAATAGGAGTGTGTGTTAATGAAGATAATCTAATAGCAGTGCCCATGCATATAGAGGCTGAGTCATTAAATTGGAGCTCCTGATGAGACAGCACACACGGCCCCGGGCCCTTTTGTTTACAGTGTGCCCAAACACACAACTATATACACTATTAGCCAGGTCTGTTTGCATCAACTAGTAAACGGAGCGAATAAACACAGACCAGAGTAGGGCTGCATAATATATCGAAATTATCGAAATATTGCAAATGTAAATATCGCAATATGCATATCGCAAGGGCGTGCGATATCCTAGGCTCAGCAGGTCCTGATAATGAGCAGTCATACTGTGTTGTTTGTCAGAAGGCGTGGATCAAGAGGAATATCGTAATTTTTCGCCCAAAAGTGATCCGATAATTAAAAGAGTGGCTGAGAATTCATGCCATGGGAACTGTGCTCCAGGCCTGGAGATACTAAGGATTCTTCATCTGGGTATGTAAGTGGTATGTCGCCTTGGCATGTAGGTGGCCCCTGCAGTGCCCCATAGATGCCCACAGCTTCTTTCCACACACTGGCACACAGATAAACTGCAGAACCCACTTGAAATTATCCAAAGTCTTCAACAAGCTTATCTTAATGGGTATATTTACATGTTGGGAAGAATGAGTATGCAGGGTCTAAAGTTAAAAGCAAGCACAAAATGTGTGTAAAAACTTGCTTTGGCAAGTAAATAAAAGTTTAAAGAGTCTAACAACTCTTTATCCATTCATCCATTGAAAGGTGTGGAAACAAGTTGGACCTTTAAGGTATGTGTTTAACTGCAATATATATTAGCAAGTATATTATTGTGAAGAGAAAAACATTTTTTACATTTGAGGGCCAGAAAGAACAAAGATAAAACTTGAGGAGTTTTGGGATTTAAAAAAAATATATAAAAGGTAAAAATAAAAAATAAAAACTGTCCAAAAAAAAAAGAGGATTACTGTGATACCTTGCTGTTGGATTGCAAATGCAGCTAATGCATGTGTTTCAAAAGCTTAGACTTTAAATAAATGTGCTGCTTAAACTCAAACACACTCTCTCTGTCTCTCTCTCTCACTCAATTTCAGGGCTTCCCAAATTTAAGAAGGCATTGATCTTTTTGCCATTTTAGTTACATGGATGGATGATGGATGAAAAGACAGGGATGATGGGGAGAAAAAAAAAACCTGCTACTGTTACAGCCTGATGTGCGAAAAGCCCCATACTGAAAAGATCCCAGGAACAACCATGAACTTCCTTATTGTATTATTGCTGATATAAACCACACTGACTACTATCGAGTTATTGGATGGGAAAGAGAATCACTAAACCGCTGCTGTAGGGCATGTCAATATCGAAGTGGTGAGAAATTTTCTGATTAAATAGAGAGGCAGCTATATTTCTTGACAGGAAAGATAAATATCGAACTCAGTCAGAGTTAGATTGCTAGATAGAAAAAGGCATTCATTAATGAAAGATACAATCTATAGTCATTTAAAAAACAGCCAAAGAGAGTCAAAAGTGGGTTATGCACTTTTCCTATCGACAGCTATCTAAATGAATGATGTATTTGCAGAGACAATATCTCTCCTTAAACCAATTAATCCTTGTATGTGTGTCACTTCTTCAATCCAGGTTTCCACATGTTCAACAGTTCTGCAAACGTAAAGCAAGCTACCACTTCAAGGAAACAATCACAGACGCATATTTAAGAACGCTGAAAAGCTAACAAATTATAATTGAAACTACTAGTCATATAAACACACTCCTAGAGTTTAGTTTGGCCTCTCTGATTCTTTGTATAGTGCTTCCCATTTGGAACACGGCTTTGAGGGTCACCACAGCCACTGGAACTAATGCGTAGGGCCATTAAACTGTCTTCATCTGCGGCCAGAGACACAAGGCTGGACAGATTGATGCCAAGGCATTGTGTTGTGTCCCCATTCACCCCCACACAGCAACGCCAGCCAGAGCCGCCATCTTTAGGGTTGAATTCAAACTTCCTGTCTCATAAAACCAGAGCCGTATGTGTTTCTGGCTTCCTTACTTGACCAATTAAAAAGCTGCCACAAAGAGGAGGTGATAAAAATGTGCTATTTTGGAAGATGAGCTACGCTCTTGTATAGTGAAATATGTGCTTTTAATCAAAGGTGTCAATTTTTAAAGCACATTTGTGGTGCAGCTATATTAATTTTTAAGTAAGATCTCAGCAACAACAAAAGAGTGCCGGAAAGATATTGCCAAGCTGTTTTGTCTCCCGGCATGGATCCAGTAAAGAGCGTCAATGTGCCGGGACAGAAATCAGACTGAGACATCAGAGCGTGCTCAGTAGGAGATGTGGCATTTATCTCCCTCCTTATTGACAGCCTCTCGACAGCACACTGTTTACACAGAGGAGACAGGGAGTAACTGTGCGAGCGAGCGTGTGAGAGGGAGACGCAGACTTCTCTGAGTCACACTTCTCATATACATGCGCGCGCAAACATGCTTCGCTTCTGATCTAAGGAGCGACGACAGTCCTGGAGATGCAAGACATCAAAATAAGCTGTCGTGCATGGAGGGAAAACCCTAAATGACACGCTTTATGCGAAAAGTCGTAGAGCTTTTGAAATGCTGCCAATCAAGCACATTTTACAGTATAGGACGTATGGCTACAGATCCTTGTGTGTTCATTGAAAAATACAAAAGAAATGCTGTGCTAAAAAGTCATTTTCCACTAAGGGTGTCATTACCGAATGAGTCAAAGGCCGGCAGTCGTTACTCGTTAAATGCATTATTTGGGGACAATCCGGGAAGAGCCAACAGCTGTTTGTGGCTGTTTAAAATGACTTCAAAAGGAGCCGAGCAAACACACGTCCTCCTTGAGCTACAAACGTAACATAGACAAACAATAACTACACAACAATCGCACTCGGAAGGATCAGGCACCTATAAATGAAAAGTTGAAGTGTAAATCAATGCTTTTTCTTTCAAAAACCTTATCAGGTGTGAGAGGGTGAGAGGAGATAGCCAGCGGCCCTCACCACATACCTGAGCTGGATTAAGTCAGAGGTGTGGGAAAAGAAGGGACAATGATAAATTCAGCAACACTGATCTAACCCAGCCTCACTTTTTGGGATGGTTTTGAGCATGTTATAAAAAACGGAATTGGTTTTGGTTTGACCAGATCTGCTCATGAAACAAAAGAAGAGCACAGTATTGACAACACAATTTAGATTGGACTATAGATCTGGTCTGATCTGATCTGGCTGTGCTGCCCTTGATTCAGTGGCAGATTTTGTCAGCGGTTATATTGGAGGACAGATCTCAGAGGCAATGTTTACTGCCCCATAAAACAGAACTTCTTTTGGCCAGCACTGCCAGCAATACCACTGATCTAAGCACGATTCAATTCAAGCTATGCAAGATTGTGGCTCTACAGAGCCAGCGTTTGCAGCTAGGGGTCCTGAAGGTAGACAAGTTTCCGAAAGAACATTTTCATGGCATTTCTAACTCTTAGCTAATTTGTACATTATTTCTAACTAATGATCTATCCTTCGTCCCTGAGCTGGTTGGAAGTCTGAATGAGGGGTCTTTGAGACTGTAAGGGTTAAAAATCCCTAATACAAAGGAAAAAGTATATGCAATAGATTAAAATAGTTAAATAATGAAGATATCCTTAGTTTACTATATATTACGCATTATCTCTAAGAGAATCCTCTTGAATTCAAAAGCTAATCTGTCCTAAAGTGAGGGTATTTACTGTAAACTGGGTCAGCTGGTCTGTTTTGAACATATGTTCATGTATAAATAACACTATGTATTAAGGATAAATCTATAAATCATCTGTTTATTGTTTACATTAAAAGCATTGTATATATAGGCTATGCCTTCTAAAGACACACGAGATGCTGTGTAATTCAATCAAAAATGAAGGGGTTTGACTTTACTATAACTTAATATAAAGAACATCTCAACCAAAACATATCGACTGTTTGAATATTAAAAACAAATATTGTTAGGGGAAAAAAATAACTGTTCTGCTGCTGTGTATGAGTTCTGTATCTATACAAATTATGTGCATTATCACCGTGCAACCTAAACAACACCATCCATAAGACAATATTTACGTTTAAAAACACCAGAGAAGGTGTCGACAACGATTTCACTAATTTATAATCCTCATATGGCCATCTGTCGCACTGTAGCATTTTCTCCACTTTACCTTGAGACACGCAGATGATGGCAAACACAACGAGCAGCGCATCTAAAGTCCTGCGAAACTCCATCACCCTCCGATATAAAGTCCACTTCAGTCGCCTTTATCCGGACAAACAGTCCCTAAAATCACCCCAAAAGCGCTACAATCCGGTTGAAGTGCGAGGAGACACTGAAGAACTTTACAAACTAGACCCAAAATGTACCAAAAAAAACTGTGTCGGATAATCTGATCATCACAAATACTCCATATTCCCGTGTGCGTGATCTGTACAGATAAAGAGTCAGTGTAACGGACAGATAAAATGTGATGCTCACAGTCCGTCCCAGACGCTCTTACTTCCTCCAAGATTCATTTCACAGGCAAAACATCTTTCGTTTCTCGCTTTCCTGGTGTATGGAAAAAGTATCCGTTCTTTAATAGCCAGTCAGATTTCCATCCCAGCCGCTGCCCCGCACTCTTCCCTTCGCTGTGAATGAACTGATTTACTACTGTCGCGTCTCCGGGCGACTGTCTCGTGGCTCAAGCCCAGCCCTCGACTACATTCAGCAGTTACGCACACTGGGATAACAGCGCTCTTAAAGGGCCAGGCGCTTGATTTCGCACAATCTGCAGATATCGCTGTAAATAGTGAATGAATGAAATTCTGGAGTAGTTGTGAGAGATGGTTCACCCAGTAAATCTATCATTATTTACTAAACTTCGTGTTGTTTTAAAGTCGTATGATTTTCTTTCTCACTTGGCGCACACAAGATATTAGGCAGAACTGATAGCCTCACTCACCATTGACTTTCATTGTATCATTCCATACAATGAAAGTGAATGGAGACTGGCGCTGTCATTCTGCCTAACATCTCCTTTTGTGTTGAGAGCGTATAAAGGATGAGAGTTTTCATTTTTAGGTGAACAACTCCTTTAAAAACATGACAGTTTTAGTAGATCACATGTTTTCTGAGAATAATGTCTAAAATAGCATTTTAAATCATTTAAAGGAATAGTTCACTCAAAATTAGAAATCTGTCATGTCCTTCCACATTTTTCTCTCTCTCTCTCTCTCTCTCTCTCTCTCTCTCTCTCTCGAACGCAAAAGGAGATATTTTGAAGTATGTTTATTTCTGCTCTCTTCCAATGTAAATTAATAGAGACATGGTTGCTCCAAAACTGAAAAAATAAAAGTATCATGAAAGCAGTCCACTTGTGCATTATACTGCAAGTCAAACAAGTGATAATTCAAATATATTTATTAAGATATAGCTAAAATGTAAAAATAAAAATAAAAAAATAAATTGTAAAATGTAAAATTTTTCACTGAAAATCTTCCCTCTCTGCTGTATAGGTCATTTTTATAATACTTTTATGGTGCGTTTTTCTTTGAAACTGGCAACCCGTCATACCCAATTCACTGTCATTGTATGGAAAAGTGTTGCCAGAATATTTTATAGAATTACTGTTTTTGCGTTCCACAGAACGGAGAAAGACAGGTTTTTAACATGTGTGGGTGAGTAAATTCTGAAATGATGACAGGATTTCAATTTCTGGTTCAACTACTCCTTTAAGAGCAACTACAGTGTTATATACTGTATATATATAGGTCTACGTTTAATCATCATTAAAATGAAGAGCCTGTGGGTCGAGGTGCTAAGGTGCAAGAAAACTGTGCAATTCATTTCACTATTACTTTTAAATTCTGTTCCGTCTCCAAAAAAGCAGCATCAATCAGCCCCTGAAGATTCCGGGCTCTTAGCAAATCATCAATCACAGAAATGCCAGTTTCATGGGAATGACTAGATCAGAAGTGAAAAGCAATATCAGAGGTATATCAGTGTGGTATGAGGTTCAGACAATGAGACACGACACAGAAGACCCTCTGTCTGCGCCAGGTAATGATGGCGGATGATAACAGTGGATTCAGCCCTGGCAAATAACAGCAATGAATCGCTAAAGAGGGAAAAGAGGGCTATTTTGTATTCACCGCATTTCACTCTTTCCATCCCAGCCATTTTCTCCATTATAATGAGACTGTATTTGTAAAAAAAATTTACCAACAAATTGCATTTCATGTTAATTTGAAGATTGAAAGCTCAACATGCAAGTTAGGGGTTGTATTTATCTTAATTTTCCTAACGTATTATATTCTCTTCCATTATGTTCACAGTGGAGGACAGTCGGCACCTGGAGCACGCAGAGAGCTTCTGGAGCAACTACCCTTGATATTGTCCTCATGTATGATGCATGAGCAAGTTTAACTTAATTGCAAAAACTGATTAATTGAGCTTCATCATGTAATTGAATAAAACATGATTCCGTTTTCCCCTAAATACATTTCATCTCTCTTATGACTGATGCAGCATACTCCAGCTACCATAAAACATCAGCTGGATGCGTCAGGACAAGCGTGCAGTCTGTGAATTTAGCTGAATAATCACATTAGCATGAGAGTTATGGCGACATCACATCATCACGTCTTAATGATGCCATTAAGCAACAGTCGCTGGAGTACGCCAAGAGCGGGAGTTTGGAGAACATCGCTGCAGATGACAGATTATCACTGAATTTATAAAAGCTAACAATGAGTTGCTCAATCTTTCTCACATTAAGGAGCACAAACACTCTGCTGTTGTGTTATTTAACATCTGCTTTATTCGTCTGAGAACTATAAAATATTTGCGGCAAGTTTTATGCAATAAACACAAGAGTGTTAAATCAGTTTCTTTGCCTTGTTTGTTAAATTATCTTTTTTTTCTTCAAAGAAGATAAATGAGAGTGAAAAGCATGTCTGAAGCAATCCCTTCACATGAGACATCCACTAATTTACACACCCAATTGAAAGACACCATTAAGTACAGCTAATAGAGGCTTTATCAATAGAAATGAACTTAACCTCTCAAATAAGGTGGCAGCAAAACTGACATCAAATTTTTTAAGCTTCAGAGATTTAAAAAAAAAATGCACCTTGGTGGAAAAGTATCAGACATCATATCAGTGCAGAGCAATCAGCATTGGCAGCAGAAAACGTTCTGAAAACGCTATAGCACTATAAGTAATTAGCCCATCCACCATACAGCCGCTTGAGTCTGTGCCAGCAAAACGTGATTTATTACACTGATCAGCCATGAACACCTGATAACTCACACTGAACAAGGGCCAAGCCATATTGACACTGTGAATTTAAAGCTCAGCACATCCCAAAGAACAAATTAACACACAAATGAGACATATTCAAGTATTTAATGGAATATTCAAAGATCAGTGGAAGTTAAGCTTAATATAGCTTTTGTGAAGAAGTTGATTATTGGAAAAAAAAAATGGCATTTGTCTAAAAATAAAATAACATAAAAATAAAAATGAAATCTGGGTTATAGTGAGGTGCTTACAATGGAAATGACTGGTGCTATTGTGATGGGTGTCTGAGGCTGGAATCAAACTCGGGTCTTCTAGTCAACTGAACCGCGCATACGCAAAGCTGACCTCATACGTCATTCCCCCAGAACTGCTTCCGTTTAAAACAGTGAGCGCAAGCTAGATTCAAGTGATTATTACGTTTTGAATATGGATATTTTTCTTACAAAAACGAATCGATTCGCTACAGGAGGCCTTTGTTCACCCCCCGGAGCTGTGTGAGACACTTTTTTTTGTGGAAGGGTGCTTTTTATTTCACGTCATTTGAACCGAAGCACTGCAACACCCGCTGAGTACAACGATAGAGCTTGAAAGATCAAAGACAATTTTTAATATAACTCCGACTGGATTCGTCTGAAAGAAGAAAGTCATATACACCTAGGATGACTTCAGCGTGAGTAATTTATGGGCTAATTTAAATGTTTGGGTGAACTAACCCTTTAAATAGGCAAACACAAATTCGGTAATGACCCACAGGTGGGAGGAATCAAGTCCTAATGAGTAGTAATACAATTAAATCTACAGAAGCTAGGGCCACCTAGTGGCTGGGAGAGTCATTACACGGTATAAGTGTCAGTGCCAGCTAATGGTTGGGGGAGTCATTACAAGCTGGAGCCTTACAGCTATTCAGTAAATATTATAATACTGACTGTTTCAGTAAAGCCCCAAAATGTAAAATAAATAAATAAAATATGAGCGATAACATGTTTTCTGTTAAAAAACAACAACTGCTTACTACCCTGTTTGGTGTGACGATATATCCAATTTTATAACTTCATTGCCATTACAATGAAACACTGTAAACCCTAAGTGAGTAAACCCTAAATTATATATAGTTGTGGCCAGAATTATTGACACCCTTGATAAATATGAACAAAGAAGTCTGTGAAAATAAATCTACATGGTTAATCTTTTGATCTTTTATTCAAAATATTAACAAAAACCTGACCTTTCACTGAAGTAAAACAATTCAAAATGGGGGGAAAATCTCACGATGAAATAGATGTTTTCTCAAATACACATTAGACACAACTATATATACAGGTACATATATATATATATATACATATATATACATATATATACATATAATATTTTATAAAACTTTGAAACTTTGCAAAATATTACAATATATACAGTACATCATATATTATAAAATGTTGCTTTTGTTGTTAAAAAAATGATAAGTCTTAAATTTCTGGTTTTAAATCCTCATAAAATCGTTCCTATAAAATACTTCTACTGTAAGTGCTTTTTAAATAAAATGAGGGACAAGCCTATTTTTATTATTATTGTTATTATTAACATTACCATTAATGTTATTGATTGAGTTTAACTTCTTAAATTTGGTATTAAACCTAAAATATTCCTTTAATAAAGGAAACCAGACATACAACGTCAAAATAAAAAGAGATTTTTTTTTAATGACACAACAACAAAAATAATGTCACATCCTGGTGACATTCACAAAGACCTAAGGCACATATCGACATGCTTTGTACATGTGTCCGGCATCTGTTCCTGCCAAAATCCCCACAGCAAGATATCGACTGCCCATCTCACTGCAATCGCCATGGAGACTGACAGATCGCTGAGACCAAATGACATTTAATGTGAAAAGCAATACACCGAGTCCTTATGTAACGGAAAAGTATCTGACTCCCCCACACGCCCAAAGCAGTGTTGCATATGACAGTTGAGGGAAGGATGCCAAATGACAGATGGAATGAAAAGAAAGTGCACAAAGGCTTAAAAAGAAATAAAAAACCTGGCAAGAATGTGTTTATTTGCTGCCCTTTAATTGAGACCAATTTGCTTGATTATACACAATGGCCTGGACATCAAATTAAGCACAATCAACTATGTTCTGTTTTGCCAACTTAAACCATTCAAATGTATGCCATCTCAGATGTATGAAAAGAAACAACACGCATTGGGATCCTCAACAGAAACCTGTTAATTCTAGCACTGGCCCTTTAAGATGCACCGATCTTATTATAGATTAATTGATTAAGAGGGTGCGGCTGGAAAATGACAATATATCTCTTCATTGATCTGCTTTTGAATGAGATTGGCTGCTACTAATCATCCCGGGGGGCACGGGTGCACATTTAGATGCCCAA